CATTTTCCCATCCATGAAATAGGCCTCTTAAATACAACAGAATAATTACTTTCACAATACTCCCTGGAAACAAAGAGAGCAAAAGCATTGAATGTCTTTTTTTGTTTGTGGCATTTGTTGTTAGCTTGAGGATAAGGACAGGATATTTACCAAGATGCTGTAGGCAACCCCGCATCCCTGTATAAACGCAGCCTGGCCAACAGCCACCTAATTTGAAGCTGCATGTCTTTTAAATYTATTTATGTTGGAGGACTTGTGGCAAATATTAAATTTTGTAATTTAGTTAGACAGTTTGGCCTTGGCCTGAGTTGGTGAACTTTAAATTTTTTCCTATGATAAAGAAAACTAAAATGATCTTCAGATCTGGATACTCATATGCACATATATGCCTGTAATGTCTTTGTTATAGATATGTGTGTGCGTGCAYACATGTACGCACATTGGTTTAAAACAAAATCTCCAGAAAGTAAACCCCTTGGACCCTGAACTCTGCTTCCCTCCCCTGTGTATGCTTCTATGCCCATTCAAATTGTTCAATGTTAAAAGTTTCCTGAGTTCAAGATCTATTTTAGTTCTCCAACTGGACATTGGCTAAGTCACTCAGCCATTCTCTACCTTAGCACATTTTTTTTTTAATGAAATTGAATTTTACCTAACTTATTTCCAAGTTCCTCCAAACCCTGAAAGTCTATATTCTGGGAATTTAAAGAACTTCTAGTAAATCAGTCTTTTCCCCAGAAAGTATGATCATTTAAAATTATGATGCTTAATTATTCCCAATGATAAATTCACAGGGGATAATTGAAATGGATGTGCCAGAATTGGAATCTATCTTGACCTAAGATACAGGGTAACTTAGATATCTGTACATAGAGGTAGCAGTCATGACTTACCAGGTATTCAGACAATCAGGCCAAGCCATGTTTGGGACATGTGATTCTATCTGCTCATTCTTTTGTAACTCATTGGATCACAAAACACCGGATCCTAGGGTGGCCTATTCATAGCRTAGCCTATGCCTGCTTCAAAGTGATGTACTGGCCCTTGGATGGTCTTGGCATTCAGAACCTGGAAATAGTAAGAAGAGAGAGAGAGAGTTAGAACCCCCAAAGAAATGTACCAAGAGACACCATGAAAGAGGATACCAGGCTGTAGTCAGAGTGACAAGCATYGAGTAGATTAGATAATGTTTTCTGAATTAATAAATGTATTCTGATCAACTGATTAGTAATTATCTAATAATTATTAAATTTTACCTGGATCTTTTAGCATAATTATATCTAAAACTACATTCTAAGCGACTATGACAATGTTCTTAAAGATTGCAAAAAAATGCAATCAGTATTATTTAACTGCTTTTATAAGCTGGCTTTAATTTTATTGTTATCTAAATGTTTATCAAAATAGAACTTTAATGAAGTATGAATTTTCTAAACATAGGTACCATATGTCATTCTTTGAATCAACTTGTAGTTTGAAAGAATCTGCTTTTTCCTAATACATTATTACCTATTTGTTATAAGAGAGGCGGACACATCCCTGACCCCTGTATATATTAATGGTGGTATTGGGTCCTCCATCTTATTGCTGAGCTGTTCTAGTGGTAAATTTGTGTTATCATCCACCGTCTTTCTTACCTGGCTCTCCTGTGAACGGAAACAACATTTCTGAAGTAAATAGGGTTGGAATGTGCTGTCTGGGGCCAAGGAAGCAAGCAGTGGAATTGATCCTGGAGAATCAGACTCATTACCACATGGATCTGAACCTGTCAGTCATCATCCACGTGTCCTGAAATACACAGCAAAGCCTTAAATATTAACAACTTTATCTACTACTTCTTTCATGGAAATTGACTGATAGTATTTGAAATGACCTAGTGACCYGTMGAAAATAGAGTGAGGTAATACATAYACCTAAAATCCAAACAAAATGGTAGTTGAAACAACTATACTTTCAATTGTATTTATCTTCTTTACAATTTCACTGTCCTTGTAGAGGAGAAAGACTTAAAATCAACCAAATGTGAAAATAGACAATGAGTGCAAAGATGATCCTAAGTGAAGGTAGACTGAAGCTTGAGTGCTCAGAGCTCTTGGATTTCATGGACTCTCAATTTTATGTAATAAGCAAGTGTTTTCAGATGATAGAACACTGTGTGTAACTATATGTACTCATTGTTTTACATATACTTTTTTTGTTTTTGGGGGGTACCAGAGATAGAATTTAGAACTCGACTGCTGAGCCACATCCCCAGCCCTATTTTGTTTTTTTAAATTTAGAGACAGGGTCTCACTGAGTTGCTTAGTGCCTTGCTTTTGCTAAGGCTGGCTTTGAACTCAACATTCTCCTGCCTCAGCCTCCATAGCTTCTGGGATTACAGGCATGCTTCACTGTGCTGGGCTTACATATATTATTGATACTCTTTATGATARGCCTGGGAGACTTGCTCTCTATAACTTAGTGTTGTTTTCTTTGTTTTGCATTTGAGCAACTCAAATAATGATTACACAGCTAACAAAGAAACCGGCTTCCTTTAGGATCTAGACACTTCTGCTCTCACTATTATACCAGTTAGAGCGACTTTCCTAATCACTGAGGCAAAAAATAAAAAATATAAAGGCAATTGGCTCTGGATTCTTCTCTGGTAAGAACCATTCTGAATGTGATACAGAAGGAGAAATTTTTCAAGATTAATACCTTAATATGATTTAAATAAAAAATAAAACATTAGCCTTAAATGATATCACAGATGACCACAAATGCTTGAGAGTGTTTATAGAATGCTTATGAAACATAAAGAGCAAGCTGCTCTGCTAAGCTTGAATCAGTGGTCATCCTCAGTGATCCCAACTGAGTACCATCCTTCGTGGAAATTCAAAAAAATTAGATTCATTGGAAACAGCAACAGATATGAATTGGCTCTAAGATAATCAYGTAGGTTCGCATTGATTTTTAGATTTTAGCTGTCATTTGATCAGGGCCTGTCAAATTGACGCTTCCACGTTGAGATCCTAGATCCAAAGTATAACCACCGATTGAATCTGTCTTTTGTATGCACAAACATAAGTATGGCAAATCAAAACCTGGATGTAAAATGATTCTTCTTCCTACCTGGGGAAAGAATGTCGTATAGAAAGAGCGAACAAGGCGTGGTTGAAGGACTGGGGTAGACCAGCCTGCCTGTAAGAGAGCGGACCCCAGTCTCAGAGGAAAGTCGGGATGGTGTGGCAACAGTTGAGTGTACGGGGCGGGCTTGCACTTGCAGCACAGCTGGAACTCGGGGCCAGCGGGAGAGATCCACCAAGAGGCCAGTTTGTGGTTAAACATGGAACGAGCTCAGGGTCTCAATGCATAGAACAGCCACACAGGGGCTGGCCTACCCCGATCAGCAAGTGTGTATTGCAACACAGGCACCCGGTGCCATGGAGCGGACTCCCAGCCCCTCAGCTGAAGTGCTTCTATTCCCTGGTGTGGACAGTGTCCTCTACTGTTCTCACTGTTTTTCAATCTGAASAGTTAGTACAATTTATGTGATCCTCCTGATGCCCGCCCCCAGCAAATTATTGTCTTTTGTATTATGTAGGAGTGTGTATATTCATGTACATACTACATCCATATATTCACACACACACACACACATACACATATAAAATTCTTGATACTTGGCTGCCTTTAAATAATGTGCATGTGCTTCAGTCCTGTGAGTTTGTTGTTGCTTCACGTTGTTACTATTTATGCATTCTTTGGAAAAACTCTTATAAAACATTTTGGTACCAAAGAGTGAAAATTCTGCTTTGTGATCTTATATATATATATTTTTTTTTGAATTAGAAAAAGTAACCCTTGATTCAGAGCTGAATAAATTCATGCATAAATATTTTTTAGTGTTAGACCCACTGGCTGGCATAAATGCTCCCTTAACAATAGGCTAAGAAAAAAAAAACTACATAAAAACACAAAGGCAAATGTGAGCTATTTATGTTTCTCTTGGTTTACAAATGCTTAATGGTTTTGCTTTAAGGCATCTGCTATAAAGTCAGCAACTGCTGTCCCAGTGCCACAAGTTCAATGTCTCTGGACCCCATAGTAGGTAGTAGTAGTTAATAAAAAAAAAAAACAAAAAAAACTCAGCAGTATTTTTTTTTCTCTCCAAATCAAGTAATCATGCTGTACTCTATAATTTTATTCTTGGAAACACAAAGAGTGTTTACAATATGGTGTCTTTCTAGGATCAGAGTAGTGGAGGGAAAAAATGGAAAAATGTCCAAACATCCTCACATGGCAATCATGGCTTTACTGGTGTGTTTAATAAAACCTTTATTGGTACATTTTCCGGTGTGGTGGCATTGGCACAAATGGTCCCCCTTTGGATTTGGAACTCAGCAGCTGATGAAATACAGTAAACATTAATTTGGAATGGACTGCCAGTGTTGGAAAGCCAGGTGACATTTTATTATATTTGTACCGAGCAGGGGCTATGTCCCATACTGCTGTAGCTTCCGCTGTCAGAGGCTTAGCTGGCATTATGGAAAAAAAAAAATGGCAGGCCTGAGAATCTTATCCCCTGAAATGAAAGTCGAATGCCAAATTGAAATTCCTGTAGGATTTCCGATAGCAATGGGGGAATTGAGAAGCCCACAATTAAGCATATGGGCATTAAGATAATTGTCAGATCTGTTGGCGGACATGATAGAAGACAGATGGGTACGAATCCGTGCGCTCCACTGCAGCACCCTGGGAGACAATTTGACGTTTTACCTGCCTGAGCTACTCTGCCATATTTGTCACTGGATGTACGGCACGGCATCTCACTGAGCGTTAAGTGCTTTTGCAGAGAACTCTAGGTGCATGTGCAGTCCTCCAGCGCCCTCTAGCGAATCGCGTGCGGGAGGATTGTTTTCCAGAGGCCAGCCTTCCTGCTTCAGGTCCTGGCTGCCCCTGGCAACAGCTGTGGTGCCTCCCATTCCCACTGATCACAATGGCTCCTCTCCTGCTTTCAGGTGGGGGCCCATCGTGAAGATGGCGTGGCCCTGAGAGGCAGCCATTCTCTTCTGCCAAATCAGGTTCCGGTTCCACAGCTTCCTGTCCAGTCTGCGACTTCCCCTGACTTGAACCCACCCCAGGACCCTTACAGAGGTAAGTGTGCCTGGGAAGGGCACTTCTGACCTCCTGTAAACAAGACGCACAGTGTTGTTTGCCCCCTGTCCTTGGTGGGCAGCCCTCAGGAAGCATTGGCAGAAAACCAAGAATCAAATTTGGTACAAAAATGGTAAGTACATGGGAAAGGAGTGAGAACCTAGCCTGCTAATCGTGTTGCTTCAGTAACTGTTCTCCTCCAACATCCTCTGAAAATCCTGGTCGCATTTCAGTAGGGAAGGAGACAGCAGACTGATGAGAGGAAATTATATTTTAGCTATTTCCACATTTTACCCATTCAGGTCCTCTAATGTGGTTAGTTTGGGCCTGAAAATGATGTTTTCAAATGAATAGGATGGAAGGAAATTGTTTTAGTTGTTTGAGATGGAAGGAAATATAGGTACGTTTTTAAAATGGAACATGGTTGTGGTTTTCGCTCTTGAGTCATCTAGCCTTGTCATGGTGCCTCCTGTGCCTGCCTTTACATGCCCCCAGGAAGTGGTGCTACGAGGTCTGGGTCTAGGTTCTCTGTGCCACTCACTGGCCAGCTGACTATCTATCGGTCATTTCAAGAACCATCTTCTCATTCCCTGCACCTTTAAAATAAACACAATAACACTGCCTCCGGAATCCATATAATGTCTTTCAACTGTTAACTTTTATACTCATCTGAGCGTTAATTATATATATGGGTATGGCTATTCCGTTTTATCTGARCAGTAATAATCTGGCAGAGCTCTTGGTTTTGCTCTCTTTGCCCTAGATCTGTACTTCTCCAACTGTAACGTGAAAAGCGTGAACCAGGGATCACATTCAAAGGCTGATTCTGATTTAYTCATTTTGGAATTTGGCATTTCTAGTGGCTCCCAGGTGATAAGGATGGTCCTGGACCATGAACCAAATTTTGAGAAATAGGGTTCTAGAATACACAGACTGCAAGTGGAAGGAAATACTTAATAGACATTCATCGACTAAGAAGTAAAATTACATTAAAGTCACATTTTAAAACATAGTGTGATGTTGGAAAGTTTAGCGATGATAAAGCTAGAGTATTCTTCAGTGAGCAGAGAACTGCCTTCCATATGTACCATTTTTAATGCTGATTACTCCTTGAGGATAAGAGAAGCCTAATTTCAGAATATCATTAGGGTATCTATTGAAGTCTTGACTGCATATATTTAGCGTACTCCCTGGGAATTATATTTTAAGGACATTTTTCTATTAAATCATTGCATATGGAAAAAAACTCAATATAATAGCTGATATTTACTTGGGTTCTTAATCAGAACATTGAGGTGTGTGATTTTCATGATTATGATTTTCATTGCAATTAAGTTGATGTTTTGTAGACAGTGAAATTACCATCTACTCCAAAAGATTGCAAAATAGAATTTAACCTCAGAGCCAATGCAGGGAAAACTTATTTCCGCAGGTGCATTTCTGAAACTTCCACCAGATAGCAGGGAAAGAGTGACAGAAGGATCACAGTTCAGCAGTGCGAATCGTCTGGCTGGCAGCCTCGAGGTCTGGGGGGTGAGTGTTTGTGCACYGAGGTTTTAGCAAACGTGTCACCTGCTCTCTTTTTTTTCCCTATAGGCATGCCACCAGGACTTCAGGGGCAGAGTGTCTCCTCCGGCAGCTCTGAGATCAAATCTGACGATGAGGGTGATGAGAACCTGCAAGACACAAAGTCTTCTGAGGACAAGAAATTAGACGACGACAAGAAGGATATCAAATCAATTACTAGGTCAAGATCTAGGTAACAGTATATCATACTGTCGCTTCATTTAATTCCTTTATTGGACTTTGATGAAGTGAACAGAACAGGAAGAAACTACTGAGTTTTTTCCTGGCAGGTAAATTTACAGATCAAAAGAAAATTGAAGGCCTCTTCTAGAAGTACTAAAAGTATCATTTAAGATACCTGTACTCTAGTGAAGCCTAAAATGTTTTTGCATTTATGAATTTGGACCCAATGCTGATTACACACAGTGCAAAAAAAAAAAAAAAAAGAAAAAGAAAAAAGATTTATAATGGATGCAAGTGCAAATGGTTCATTTTTAAAACTATATTCTACAAATTTGGTCAGAAATGTTCTTTCTAAAAAGTGATCATAGGCATGTTAAAAAGTCAAATAATGTGTGTGTGCAACTGTAACTGTTTTCTTAAAATAATGATTTCCCAGCTTTATCCTAAACATGTTAATGTATAGAAGAGTAATTCCTCGATTGCTAATCTTTTCCCTCCCAGACTTTACAGAAAACAACTGCACAAGAATAGCTTCCAGTTGCTCTTAAGTATCTGATATCTTTCAGCTAGATCTGTCTCTTTGAACTTTAGTAATCAGATGGTTTTTTGAATGCCATGGACACCCATGTGCTTTGCCTTAATTCCTTTGGGCGGTTTTTATTTGAGAATTAAACCAATTGCACTGTGCCTGCAGCTTCCCTTTTAAAGGCTGTAGTGCTCAAGGTTAGAGCTAGTGTTCTTAATGAATTAAGAAGATGCTTCCTTTTTACATCGGCTTTATAATTACTGGGGCAAATTACATTACATGTCCTGCTGCAAGTTACAAAAATGCTCAGTGCTTCTAGCTAACCCCTTTCTACCATCGCTACRGTTTCCTGATTCTTGGCCACATGGGAAGATAGCTCAGGGTGGGAATTTCACATCCTTCCCAGTCTCTCTCTTAGTCTGGTCAGTTCTTGGTAATATAACTTACACATATTAACGGATTCTTTGAAGTTTCAGAACAACATTTTAACTTGCTATTGAGAACCTTCTTGTTTTCAAAGGTCACTCTGATGACATTTACTTAGGTATGCCTCCAAGACTGTGTTGTGAAGCAATGCTTTTCAAATCTAGGCAAATCATTTGCATAACTAATTTATTTATAAGTGAATAACCAATTCTAATCAGCTATGAGCCTGAAAAATCTTTGGAAGACAATTTCCTATTTTCAAGTCCCTTCTGTGTAAGGTAGGACACATGTTTGATATATAAAAATATTACCCAAATTTTTAGCTTCAGGGCAGGCCCAGCAGAGATTTCCTTTGGGCTTATTACAGCCTGTTTGCTTAGCAGGGTGCAAGAGCGAATTAATAGTAAACTGATTTTCTTTGGCACCAGCAGGGATCATGGGTAAGAGGAGAGGGGGGATAAGCAGAGAACTGCAGAAGATTAGGAAGTGGATAAAGAAGCCCTTTTCTGGTTGGTTCCATTGAGCTGTGTGTCAGCCAGCACACACCTGTGGCTGGTGTTGCCATATGGGAAGGAGTTTCAGCTGTGGGAGGGCAGTATGGTCTGAGCCTCTTTCTTTAGTGTCTTCATCTTTCCTCACTAACTTTTTCTTCTGTGTGTAAGTGTTCTTGGCTTCTATACATCATTACGCACTGTATGTCCTTGGATCCTAAGAATACCACTTTTAATTTTTGATGGATTCGAGCTTCTCCAGTGTACTTGGTCCTTTTTGCAATTTGGAAGTTACCCAAGGATTTTCCAAAAATGGAAGATCAGAGCCATACTTTTTAAGCCAGCATTCATTAAATGTAGGTCAAATTGACTYGATAACTATCCCCATGTCTCCCAGTTCTGAAATGCTTTGTGCAGTGAACATTTCCGACGTGGAATTTCGAGGTAGCTGCCAATCTCCTGTCCATGAGCTGAATGCCRGAACCTCTAGGCTAACGGCTGGATAGGTGGTCACCTCCATAGTATTTCTTACAACGGGGAGTCATTGCTTTTTAGTGGCATTTACTCCATTTTTGATGTCTTTCATACCCCCCCCCCAAAAAAGTTCTTGCTCATGGTCATTCACAGTGGTCATCCAGAGTTCTTTGTTTTGTTCTTGAGACAGGACGTCTCCCACACCTGCCTTTGAAAGTCCTTTGAAATGTTGGAAACTCTCCTGCCATGAAAGCTTCCCCAGAYGCTCTGCCTTCCAGATGACTCATCGTCCTCTTTGCCTTCTGCTAAATGTCTAATTGGTCACTAAGATACCCAGAAATGGTCAGAAYTGATCTTATCTGTGCAGTCCACACTGGGCCCCGCCATACCTTCTTTATGAATCATCAGGGTATTTTGGTTCTTAGCGAGATTCCTGTTTGCCTTCATTTTTGACTCACCATGAGGTCATGTCAATTTATAAGGGGTAGATGTTTGGATTTTGTATTGTTTTACACAGCTGATGTCGATTCAGATTTCCCCAACTTATTTTGGGGAATCACAATCATCCATAATATTAAAGACCGAGGAAGTCATGTTTTGTTCTGTTTTTTTGTGTGTGTGTGTGTTTTTTTTTTTTCTTTTCAACTTTTCATTTACTGTGTGGAGAAAATGAGAGACACAGGTAGGGCTCMTGGATTGTCCAGGCCTTCAGAGCTGCGAATGGCCACCTCTGGGCATGGTCCCACTGTCTTGACTCTTATTGCTGTGATGTCTTCAACGGAGGACTTYCTTCTTGGTCCTATTAACTTGCCAGTCTTACATTTTCTTTGACCTATTAAAAATCTCTTTTTCAGTCACATATTTCCTTAGGTTTCAGATGTCACAGTGTGAAAGTTCTTCAAAAAAAGATGGCATGTGAGCAATTTTTTCTGCAGTGTGGTCACAGAGAACAGGCTAAGCATAGTGGGTAGAGGCCTGCTTGGCAGAGTGTGACTTACCCACCAAAGCTTCATTTCCCTAGATCATGCTCTCCTGTTTGATTGGGGTTCCAGGTGYGGGTAAATGTCTTAAATATGGACCCGTGCCAAGGTCAAGTGGATGTAAAACTGACAAGGACGCGGATGGAGATGGGGAGGTTTCCTGACAACTCTGGAAGCAAACAAAGTAATCTAGACACCTTCCTTTCCCCCACACCGTTAGAAAATGTCGCCTCCTTTTTTGACCCACAGCAATAACGACGATGAGGACCTGACTCCAGAGCAGAAGGCAGAACGTGAGAAGGAGCGGAGAATGGCCAACAACGCCCGGGAGCGCCTGCGGGTCCGAGACATCAACGAGGCTTTCAAGGAGCTCGGCCGCATGGTGCAGCTCCACCTCAAGAGTGACAAGCCTCAGACCAAGCTCCTGATCCTCCACCAGGCCGTGGCTGTCATCCTCAGCCTGGAGCAGCAAGTCCGAGGTCAGTGCAGGCAGCAGTGCAGTGAGATGGACTTGAGCCACAGCRCTAGACTTTTAAGAACCTTCAGAGGAACGGCCCAGTGCAGGCTAAGACCTCTGGGCAGCAGCATTGCTTACTCAGATTGTTGAGATTACAGAGCRCTCTCATAACCTTCCATTTGTACTGTCAGTAATTGGAGCTTAGTTGACTTTATTTATTTATCTATTTGGGGGTGGGGAGCAAGGTACCAGGGATTGAACTCAGGGACACTCGACCACTGAGCCACACCCCCAGCCCTATTTTGTATATTACTTAGAGACAGGGTCTCATTGAGTTGCTTAGCACCTTGCTTTTGCTGAGGCTGGGTTTGAACTCAAGATCCTCCTATCTCAGCCTCCYGAGCTGCTGGGATTACAGGTGTGCGTCACCRCACCTGGCTAGTTAACTGTCTTTTCCAACTCCTTTCCTCCTATAACGTTGCTGTACAAATCCTCCATATAATTCAGGTTTCACTAGTGAACAACCAAAGGAATCACTGCAGTGCCTATTTCCTAACTGCTTCTTTCCTTCTGTCACATAAAAACTGAACCAAAGGGTCAAACACACAGAGGATGTATCACTGCCCTCCGTGAGAAGCCTTGACGTTGACTAAATGGCCTGTGCTCTCATTCTCCACAGAAAGGAATCTGAATCCGAAAGCAGCATGTCTGAAAAGAAGGGAGGAAGAGAAGGTGTCCTCAGAGCCTCCCCCACTCTCCTTGGCTGGCCCGCACCCYGGAATGGGAGATGCATCCAATCACCTGGGACAGATGTGAAAGGGCAAGTTCGTTTTCAAATATTTCTGCAGTATTCACTCATAACTCTTGCACAAATTTTTACCCAAATTTATCCAAACTCTTAGCCAAATTTACCCCAAGTCAACTTTTCCCATATTTTTCTTTCTTGGTAAATGAGGGGTTTTTTTGGTTGTTGTTTTTTTAATTTTTTTTTAATCACTTTCTCTTTAATAAGTGTATTAATGAACTCTTCTCTCTTTTTCCTTTCTCAGGTCCAAGTTGCCACATTGCTTCATTAAAACAAGAGACCACTTCCTTAACAGCTGTATTATCTTAAACCCACATAAACACTTCTCCTTAACCCCCTTTTTTTGTAATATAAGACAAGTCTGAGTAGTTACGAATCACAGACGCAAGAGGTTTCAGCATTCCCAATTATCAGAAAACAGAAAAACAAACAAAAAAAAAAAAAAAAGAAAGAAAAAAGTGCAACTTGAGGGACGACTTCTTTAACATATCATTCAGAATGTGCAAAGCAGTATGTACAGGCTGAGACGCAGCCCAGAGACTGAATGGCAATCTTTCCACACTGTGGAACAATGCATTTGTGCCTAAACTTCTTTTGGAAAAAAAAAATATAATTAATTTGTAAGTCTGAAAAAAATATTTAATTTAAAAAAAATTGTAAACTTGCAATAATGAAAAAGTGTACTTCTGAAGAAAAACTACATGAACGTTTTTGTTGGTATTCAAGTCAGCTAGTGTTTATTATTACTGGATATTGAATAGGGGGAGCTCAGCTGCCCTAGTCACAAAACCAGCAAACGTCCTGATGACAAGAAGTGATGACATTAGCCATTCCTTAGGGTAGGAGGAACAGATGGATCTTATAGACCTATGACAAATATATATATAAATATATATATAAATATATATTAAAAATTTAGTGACTATGGTAAGCTTTTGTTCATTTGTTTCAGACTTTTTTTCTCCTGTAAAAAAATAGTACTGATTAACTTTTTTAAAAGAAAGATTTTACTGTAAATATGGATTTTTTGGGGGGGGCGGGGGGGTCTTATTTCTGTCCCTTTCCCCGGTTTGTTACCATAACCTGTAGTGCCAACTCTGCTTCTGGAGGGGCAGTGCAGGAGGAAATGCTGACCCTGATGTTGCTTCTCATTCATAAATAAGTAGAAAGTCGTTTCTCCAGTCTTTTGGGAACACAGGACTTAAAAGTCACATCATGTGTAGATATTACAAGCAGCATTACCAAGACATGGCAAAACTGTTGTCTTGACTTGTAATGTTGCATTTGTGACCCTATTCTGGGATTTTCAGAGGTACAAGGTTAGAATGCTACAATGTTACCACTGTGCCTTCCAATGTTTATATCATCGGAAACATAACATAATCAAAGTGGCTGTGATTTAACAARACGATTAAAGTGTTACCTACCTGTGTAGCCGGAGTAGTGTGCAGTGAGGCGTTTCTGAATACATGGTCAGATTTTTGGAAAAAAAGAAAAAAAACCACAAAAAAACAAAAACAAAAAAAAATGAAGTTCAAAAACCGTCAAATGAGAAAATTGCAAGTAGTGTGACAGAGCTGATTGATTTTGTTGCTTTCTTGATTTTTTTTCAAAATGGGTTTACTAAAAAGTAGATGACTTAACTAACCTGCCTCCTCCTTCGTCTGAAAATGCCAATATTCAGTCATCCTGCAGCATTATAATAAGCCTTATAAGTCCTAAAGCATTAAGTTGCACTTTTTTGAGGAGGGGTAGTGCAGTATTTCTCTGGCCAGTATGAATGAAGTTTATACTTAACCATATTTGATAGAAACGTAGACCAAGCTATGGCACAGCAACTCATCAGATAGCTAGCTTTGACGTCTGGGCACAATTGAACCAATTTCCATCGTAAATCTTTCTAATGATTGACTTTGGTGTATAGTGCAGTAAACAAATAGTGCTCCTAGTTAAGTATTTGTCAGCATCCTTTCGTGTCTAACTCGTTTCTATTTTTACAGCCACACAATCTTGGCATGTATTAAGARAAAAAAAAAAAACAATCCCTGTTCAAGTAGTTTTTCCACCTATCAGCACTGAGTAAATGCCATAAATCCATCGAAATGGTCTAAATGTTCCATCTGTTCTCCTGTTTTGCCAGTTATATAGTAATGAAATACATTTGTAAATTTTATGCAACAAATGGCAAACGTATCCTTATTTTGAAATCGTGTATGTAAAAGTTATATTTTTACATGTAGACTCTTGTTATTATGTGTTTTAATACATTGTATCAGTTTTTGTTTTTCTAAACTGTGTGGTTTTAAAAAAAAGTCTCATTTAAATGATATAGTGAGCTACAAGAATCTGAATTTTATGTTCATTTCTGAAAATGTAAGAACAAATAAGATAGTTACCACGTGGTCATCTTTATAAACCCATAAACATTTTGATTAGCTGTGTGTGTGTGTTGAAAACTGTAAATATGTTCAGTAGCGATAAAACTAAAATACTTTGATTTGTTGATAAGTTCCTACAATGTGGAGGTGGATTAAAACCTTAGGAGAATAGCAGAAATCAGACTTCATGAAAAGTTTTTCTGGGGCTTTCCTGAGAATCGTTCTAACAAAGGAGCTCAAAAAAGGGTATGGAAGACAATTATGTATACTCTCCCCTCCTCCTGGAATAATGAAAACCATGTGAACTTGTTCCCTCAGTATGTTAAAGATTTCCTTTTAGTGGTCCATTCTGCACTCATTTTGTATAGTCTCAAGGCGGGTATCCCTAGGAACAATATTATATAGGAAGCAGGTATACTCTGATCACATTCAGGATAAGTGTACAGAAGGGAATACGGTGTTTACTCTTTAGGGAACTGGAAGCTCCCTGCATTGATGTACATGTTCAGAGGGCACTTTTGATACATGTTATCAGAAAGGTGCTTCATAGAGCTGAATTAAAGTTTTTCAGATCTGTAAACAAAGCAAAACATTAAATTGTAATCATTTGGTTATTTTTTAAATTGGTGCTTTATATTTTGTTCTCAGTCAAACCGAGGAAAAGCTGCAATTTCTTGTTCACCAGCTTTGATGTATTCATTACTCCGTAATGTAATACCTCTATTGTGGAATTCCCTTTGGGCAGAAGTAAAAAACTTCCTAACGGCCACCAGAAGCTGCTCGCTGCTCTTTGCTTGGTGGAGAAACATGATCTGCACCTCTCCATAGTAATTGGGTGGTATCCCCTGTTTTAAAAAAGAAAGAAAGAAAGAAAAAGAAAAAGAAGAAGAAGAAAGGGAACGTGGCCTTTTTAGTGTGTTTTTATTTTTGGTTTTTTGTTTTTTGTTTTTGTCATTGTTTTGTAATTTTCAAACCCAGGTAAGATATTGGTATCCTGCACTGGATTTTTGAATAAAATTTAGCAGAAGACAGTTAGGATTAAAGAATATACAAAAAACAATGTCTAAAAGGTCCATACTGCACCAGGCATGCATATATATTTTATATATATGAATGATGCTTAGACTGGGGATCGGTTTAAGAAACTTGGACTTTGAAAGCAACTTGGAAMAGTTGATCCACCTCCACATTCGAGTGATTTATAATATGCAGAATAGGGATCTGTTCATCTAGAAATCCTTACCATTTGTCTTCGTGTAGCTGCAAGGAACACTAATGTGTATACAACAGTCCACCAGTGGTGCAACTGGTTCTCATTCAGTCTTCCGATTCCTTTAATTTTGTTGTTGTTTTTTGATTTGATTTTTTTTCCTATCTCTTGAATTTTTTTTTTATTCGTGATCTTTATTTTGATGAGGGGTTGGGGAGCGGGGAGGGAATCGAATCGAGACTTGGGGTTATGAGGATTTTCGTCTTTGCATCCAACAGGCAAATATGATGTGTCCAAAAGTGAACTTGAGTCAGGAATGAAACAATTTCAGCATAAACAAGCACAAAAATTTAGTCTGCTGGCTGACTGGAAGCAAAAGAGTCAAGATGGAATTTGATGAATTCCAACACAATGGGGCACCAGGGCCTTTAGGCCTCTTTATTTTGCTTTGGTTTTATTTGTTTTCTTTAGAGACATGCTCCTTCTCACGGGACTTGAAGTGGACTCATCTTTGTGCAGTGCTGGTTTTTGCCATACTCATTTCAAGTATTATAGACATATGTAATGGTGAAAATATATGAACTGTGGCCTTTTTCATTCTTGTTACTTGTGATGCAATTAAGTGAAGATAAGAAAAAAAAAAAAGCAGAGATTTACCATGTATCAGTGCCTGGCTTTTTGTTATAAAGCTTTGTTTGTCTAGTGCTCTTTTTGCTATAAAATAGACTGTAGTACACCCTAGTAGGAAAAAAAAACTAAATTTAAAAATAAAAAATATATTTGGCTTATTTTTCGCAGGAGCAATCCTTTTATACCATGAATATTACAAAAAAAAATTGTCAGATTCTGAATATTTCTTCTTTGTAGATTTTTGGAATCATTATGAGTAAAAGTTTGTTACTTTATTTTACTATTTAAAAGATGTTATTTTACCATGTGTTACCAAGATGAAACTGTATGGTAGCTTTTTTTTCGTTTGTTTTTTTTTTTAATTTTTTGTTTGTTTGTTTTTTGTTTTTGTTTTTGTTTCTGTTTTTGTTTTAGTTGTAGGTCGCAGTGGGGAAATTTTTTTGCGACTGTACACATAGCTGCAGCATTAAAAACTAAAAAAAAAAATTATTAAAAAAAGAAAAAAAGGGAAAACGTTTAAAAAAAAAAAGATAAAACAGTTACACCTTGTTTTCAATGTGTGGCTGAGTGCCTCGATTTTTTCATGTTTTTGGTGTATTTCTGATTTGTAGAAGTGTCCAAACAGGTTGTGTGCTGGAGTTCCTTCAAGACAAAAACAACCCAGCTTGGTCTAGGCCATTACCTGTTTTCCCATCTGTAGTTATTCGATGAAGTCATGTACATGACCGTTCTGTAGCAATAAATGTGCCATTTTTATAAACTGTTTCTGACACTTGCTTCATTTCATTTTGCATTGTCCTATGATGCTGTCCTGTAAGACTGCATCTCGATTTCATTTTCCACGTGTTGGAGGTATTGACAGCTTAACAAACAAAACATGCAAAAAAAAAAAATCACAAAAACAAATTGAAAAGCAAAGTACATGGTTGATCAAGGATGAGATGCCCTTAATGAAATGGAACGGGATGCATGCAAAACAAAAAGAAAAGTGTCTAGAGGATTCACTAATTGAAGGAGTGTAATTCRTGTGTGTGTAACACTGAAACTATGCATTTGAAGAGCTCTGAACTGTGCCACTGTTTGGGGTTGTGCTGTAGGTTGCTAACTCATGTCAGCCTTAACCTTTCGGATCACTTGGTCGGCTGTTTGGCAGAACATTCTCGGCTAGATCTTTTCAGTCAAAAAAAAAAAAAATCTAAGAAGATTTATTTTGTATCACTTTGTTAAAAGCTGAATGTTGTTAACCACAATTAATATTCCACTGTATTTATACTCTCTCAAACTCTTCCCTCCCTACCAATTTCTGGTTGACTGTTGACTATTGATCCAGATGTAAACAACCAGATTTTTTTTTTCCTAACTTGTACAAACTGACGCGTGTCACCTATGATGGGAGGGGAAATGTACAGATTAAAATTATCCAGTGTTATGTACTGTAAGTTAATATTTTTGTAGAATGAACATCAAATCTACTTTACACAATTTGGAGGCTGTTTCAACATTGCACTGTAGAGATGTAAAGTAATGTACACAATGTAAAGGAATCCATGGTAGATGAGCCCTTCCTAAAGGAATGTTCTCACCATGTGCGTGGATTGGGAAATGTCTCCGATATTGCTCTTGTATTCTTTTGAATGGGATTTAGTGACTAGCTTACCTGAAGGAAAATGTTATCATGTCATTTGGTTCACTTGT